CTCTATCCAGATTGCCCCAGTACAGAAGCGAACGTGAAGAGGTTAACGAGGCAATTATCTCCAATCCACAAACTGCCGCTCAACTCACGCCTCGCAGGATCCCTAATCCTGATGATCCTGGGGCAAAGAAAATAAAACAACTCCTCACCAATCAATGCTTCAAAATAATCAAACCTCCCTAACATGCAGGGATGGCTTGGCTTACAAGGGGGGGAAACTGTATTTGCCTGAAACCCTCCATCTTAATGCTCTCAAACACAGCCATGACGTAAAACAGGCTGGAAACTTTGGATATCTAAAAACTCTACATCTCATCTGCCAGCAATTTTGGTGGCCGGGGCTGAAACGGGATGTGGAAAACTATGTCAAGAGTTGTGCTGTATGTGCCACCATGAAAAGAATTCCAGGGAAAACCCCTGGATTACTGCAGCCAGTGGCAGACCCTTCTCAACCATGGGAGGAAATAGCTATGGACTTTATAGTGGAGCTACCTGATAGTAGAGGAAATACTGTCATCTGGACTGTGATAGACCTGTTTTCCAAGCAGGCTCATTTCATCACCTGCAAAGGACTCCCAATCTGCACAGTGACTAACTAAAATGTTCCTGAAACATATCTATCGGCTGCATGGCGCCCCTAAGAGAATAATTTCAGACGGGGGTGCAGTTCACAGCTAAGCTTTGGAGGAGTTTTCTTAAATTAATTGGATCATCTTAAGGCCTATCATCTGCTTTTCATCCATCTACCAATGGGACCGCAGAATCCGCCAACAAGATGGTGGAGCAATATCTCAGATGTTACGTTTCATACCAACAAACCAACTGGACCAACCTCCTCCCCTTTGCAGAGGTGGCTTACAATAATTCTGTACACAGCAGCACCGGCTACACGCCTTTCAGAGTAGCCACAGGAAAAGAGTTTGGCCCAATACCTGAATACCCTCAGGTGCCATCTGCTTCCCAGACACTTGATCAATGGGTGAGGGGGGTGGGAAGAAGTTTGGAGAAACACAAAAACTGCTTTAAAAAAGACTTCCAAAACCTATAAAAAGCAGGCTGATAGAAAGAGGTCTCACCAAAGAACATTCCAAGTTGGGGAAAAGGTTTATCTGTCGACTAAATATTTACGCCTCAAATTACCCAGTAAGAAATTAGGACCGAAATTCTTGGGGCCTTTCCCCATCGTAAGGATCATCAACCCTGTCACAGTAGAACTAAAACTCCCTAGGCTTTTAGGGAGAATTCACCCTGTCTTCCATTGCAGCTTGTTAAAACCTTGTCGGGGCTCCACTTTGAGACCTGCCCCTAAGAAGGCACCCAGGCCCCTCATAGTGGCAGGACAGACCCACTATGAAGTGAAACGTATTCTTGACTCTAGAATTTTTAAAGGTAAATTGCAGTACCTAGTACAATGGAAGGGGTACTCGCTGTCTGAAGCAACTTGGGTGAAATCTAGCAATGTGAAAGCTGACAGACTCATCAAAAGGTTTTATGAGAAACACCCCAACAAACTGAAAGATAGTCCCTAACATATGCTTTTGTTTACATTACAGGATCTATCCTTTTTGTTAAGGGGGGCCGGATGTCAACGCTGCTAACATCGGATGTTCTTGCTTTGACAATATATGAAGATGCAGCCATTTTCTCTTTAACCTGTGTATTACTTTTAGAGTTAGAATTAGATGGTGCTGGGGGGGGGGGGTAGGGGAAGAATGTGTATGGGGATTAGTTAGACATAACAATATCGCAGTAGAGTATTCTTCAAGGTTGTTTGAAATAAGAGAAGATAAAAAATGGCGGGTTATGAAACTGGAGGGAAGGTTTGCATTTTAAAGTAATTGGAGAATGTGATTTATGACTCTTAATTGGAGGAAGGAATTGTGCTTCGATACTATGTGCTTAGGGGAGGAGAATTCAGATTTTGGCTTCGACCATGTATGTACCGATGCCATGTTATTTTGAATAAAGTTTCTTTAAGGTAAACAATGCCTCGAAGTTCTTTGAAGAGTAACATCTGTCAGAACTATGACATTGTCTTTGCTCCTTGTCTTTCGCCAGCAACACTCTTAGCCCACTTTAAGTTCCCTTAATACCATTGTGTACCATGGGGAACATTAGGCACCCTGGGCACACAGAGACTGCTCAGGCACAATCTGATCTAAAGCTGCTGATGCTTTGCTGTTCTACGCAGCCACAAAGGCTTCAATCAGACCAAGTAGCAGGCTTTCTGGAATAACCTCAAGTTCCCTCTGGAACTCATTCAGTCCATATTAGACACCTGGGGTGGGATGATCTGATAGGCCCAGCCTACCTGAAGAGGGAGGTAGCACCCAAGAAATTGAGGCTTACCAGTGAGTGATCTGTCCATGGCAGGGGAGAATTCAAGATCTGTCTCAAATTCAAAACTCTGCCACTGCTCCAACAGAAAAACCAGATTTGGTATATTCTCGCTGCTATGAGTTGGGGCCTGGATGATTGGAGTCCTGAAACTCCTGACCTGTGTATGACCCTGCACCTAGGGATGGCAGGTTGAAATCCCCCAGCACCATAGGTCCCAGGAATTCCACCACCAGTCTAGCCACAGAATCAAGGAGCTCAGGTAGGGAGGTTGCTATGTAGCAGGGTGTCAACTGTCCCGTTGGCATGCACAGCAAAATAAACTCCTGGGACATTTTTATTACCAAGAGTAAAACTTTACTGTGTGGTATAATGAACCCCCCCCCCTTTCTTACCCCGGGGCCGCCCAGTGTTCATTGTCCACCAATCCAGGTCAAGCATTTTATTTTGGGAAAACAGTCTGCACCTTTTGAAAGTCTTCAGCTCATGACCTTGGGGTTGTAAGATTTTCTCAAGCTGCAAACGGCTCATGTAAATTCCTTTTCTCCCTCCCAGCTTCCCACATATTCCAATCATACCCCTCCCTCCTCCCGTGTTTCTTTGTCAAGCTGCGAGCAGAAAGGAGGTGTCTTGCCAAGTCAACTTTGACAGGGAGGCTGGTAAAATAGGTTTGCCCACATCTGCCATCTTGCTCTTCCCTTGCATATTATAATTCCCTCCACCTTGACTAAAGTCCCAGTTCCAGCTGAAGAAAAGCAGCCCCAAAGCATCATGCTGCCACCACCATGCTTCACTGTGGGTATGGTTTACTTTTGGTGATGCTCAGTGTTGTTTTTGCCCCAAACATGCTTTTTCAAATGATAGCCAAAAAGTTCAACCTTGGTCTCATCAGACCATAACACGTTTCCCCACATGCTTTTGTCAGACTTGATATAGGTTTTTGTAAAAGTAGCCAAGCTTGGATGTTTTTCTTTGTAAGAAAAGGCTTCTGTCTTGCCACCCTACCCCACAGCCCAGACCTATGAAGAATATGGGAGATTGTTGTCACATGTAGTACACAACCAGTACTTGCCAGAAATTCTTGCATCTCCTTTAATGTTGCTGTAGGCCTCTTGGCAACCTCTTGGACCAGTTTTCTTCTTTTTTCATCAATTTTGGAGGTACATCCAGTTCTTGGGTAATGTCACTATTGTGCCATAGTTTCTCCACTTGTTGATGACTGTCTTCATTGTGTTCTGCAGTATATCCAATGCCTTGGAAATTTTTTGTACCCTTCTCCTGACTGATGCCTTCCAATATTGAGATTCCATTGATGCTTTATAAGCGCTTTGCAGACCATGGCTTTTGCTGTTAAGAGGCAACTGAGTAAATGTCAGAACAATGCAACTGGAACAGCTGGTTTATATGGGCTTGATTAGAGTCACTTTAATTGATGGCAGGTGTGTACTGAGTACTATTGAACATCAGTTTGAATGTGCTTGGTTAATTCTGAACACAGCCACATCTCCGAGACCGCCTTCTGCCACAGATTTCCTCTCACAGACCAGTACGCTCCCACAGAGCGGGCCTCCTCAGGGTGCCGTCGGCCAAGCAGTGTCGGCTGGCGACCCCCAGGGGGAGGGCCTTCTCTGTGGGTGCCCCCACCCTCTGGAACGAACTACCCCCCGAGATCCGGACGATTCCGGATCTCCTATCTTTTCNTAGGGAGAATTTTAAATAGGGACAATTTTAATTTTAATTAGAATTTTAATGGTAACACAGCGGTAAATATTTGTTTTTAATTGGTTTTTATTGGGGATAGTGTTTGTATCGTTTTAATATGCTGTAAGCCGCCCTGAGTCCTGTTGGGAGAAGGGCGGCATATAAGTTTAATAAAATAAATAAATAAATAAATAAATAAGAGGGTGTGCACATTTATGCAATCACATTGTTGTATATTATTGTTATTTCCCCCCTAAAAGATTTCAGATTGTATTTCAATTGAATTGTACAGCTTATATTTTATATTAAAGGTGGAAAAAAGTCTGAAGTGATTTATCTTGGTCTGATTTTTGTTTTTTACATCTCCCAAAAAAAGTTTAACAGTGGTTAAACCTTTTGTAGACTTTTTATATTTGTTGTAGGCTGTTCAGCATAGACATTTTTGTTGATAATTGTATGCTGTCAGATTGAGGAAAATGTGAAGGAACAGTTCTTTATGGACAAGTGTGGACAGTGATAAGTCCCTTTATGTTAGATTCCTCATGTCCCGTCCCCCCCTTTGTGGAAGGTCCCTTTTTCTCTCATTGTGTTTTGGGGCTATCCATAAGTGTGCACAATATAAAAAGAGCTGTGAGTAACATGTTGCAAATAAGCAGAAATAGTATAGTATAGTATTAGTATACTGACTAACGTGAGGTACTGTGTGACCAGAGGAAATATTTACCTAACATTACAGATGATTCTTAAATTTAGGTCAAGGATTTTTATTTTGAGCACTGTTTAGGGCAGACTTTGAACATGTTTTAAATTTCTTTTTGCATTTTTAAGCAAGATTATTTGTCAGCAATTTAAGAGGAAACTTAATAGGATGCAAACTACAGAAATGTATTTGTGTGTTTTCTTTCCCAGGGATATCATGTCAATTTATAAGGAGCCACCTCCTGGAATGTTTGTCGTGCCTGACCCCCATGATATGACCAAGGTAGGTGGTATTGAAATGTTTGCTGTGTAGTTCTACCAAAAGGTTTTTCTAACCATTTTAGAAAGAAGTAGTTCATAATATAATGACTTGGCATATATGCACTTGACGTTATTGGAGAAACCACTATAAGCAACTAAGTGCGATTAATTGCTAGCAATACAAATGTTTTCACCTTAAGAAACTTTTCAGTACTGGACAGCTCATACTGTGTTTATATTGAGAAATTAGTTGAAATGAGAAAAAACAAAGGTAGTGGTGATATCTTAAAAAGCAGTATATAACCATTGGATTGCTATTCCTAATATTTTTATGTTCTGTGGATTACTGTATGAAATAAAAGGCACAGGCTCTGCCTTTCAGGCTTGCAGTCAAAAAGACAGAAGGTTAGGAAAATGATGAGGAGATGAAATTGTTAAAAGTTGTTCACATAGAAACAGAACTGGGCTAATTTTTCCTTTGCTATTGATCTTTAGGCAGACATCCTTAGTCCTGTAGACTTGATTTTTCAGTTACAAAATATTGTGTTTATGAAAGAAAAGACTGAGGCATGAACATAGCTTTTTTTTAAATGCATGAATGTGTCAAACCTACAGAGACTTCCTTTGATTTGAGTCCCTTACAGAAGAGAAAAAAATTCTACATCTCATCTAAGTTGTATGTTATTCATATATGCATATATTTGGGTCTGTTTACCTAGTTCTCTTATTTTAGCTGTGGGTTAGCCAGGTTAAGCCATTTGACTGATCAAATTTTATCAAGTGTTCTAACCACTGCCATTGGAACTGCAAAGAAAATAATCTGTGAATCTGGTTAACTTGGAATAATAAATATATAAAATAAAATAAAACAGGTAGTGGTAAATATGAGTCAAGATCATTGATTTATTGCAATTGTATTCTGCCTTTCAGTCCAAAAGCTCTTCAGAGTGCATAGTCTCCTACCCATTTTTCCCCTCAAAACTGCCCTATGAGGGAAATTTGGCCAACAGTGTTTAATGAGCCTATATTTCCTAATAAGATCATGGTTGAATGAGAATTGAAAAGTTGTTACAGTCCATTGTTTTAAGCACTGGACATTGAGTTTCAGCTCTGGTGGCAGTATTCTTGTCTGGGCATGCCTGCAGTTATAACAGATGGCTAGTAAAAATGTTTTTGCTGCATCTCTGGATTTTCCCCTAAATGCTGTAGGACTAAGGGAAGGCAGCAAGCCTCAGTCTAACCTTTGCTAACTATATTTTTTTAAAGTTGTCATTCACACAATGATATTTTTAGTACATACAGGTGAAACTCGAAAAATTAGAATATCGTGCAAAAGTTCATTTATTTCAGTAATGCAACTTAAAAGGTGAACCTAATATATGAGATAGACTCATTACATGCAAAGCAAGATAGTTCAAGCCGTGATGTGTCATAACTGTGATGATTATGGCTTACAGCTCATGAAAACCCCAAATCCACAATCTCAGAAA